ATATAGCATTTTCATAGTGTTAGTTCTCTATCATGTCAGAGATTCATTCTCAAAAGATGGTTCGTTCCTTATCATGTCACAGACGCATAAATGTACTTGCATAGTTATAGCCCCAATTATAGTTATTTAACCAATTGAAGCTAACTTCGTGACTTTATAGGATGAAACATTAGCTCTTTTACCAGATAAACAGACTGACATACACACGTACATGATACCAGTTGTACTTACCCAGAGGAGGCCGATAACAGTGTCATCACTTAGATCATACTGCTTCTGAAGAGTAAGCAAGGCATCAACGAAATGCTGCTTAGTATCACCAGTTTGTTTGCGAGCCAAAGTGTGTTCGTCCATGATAATTCTTGTTAACCGGTCTCTACGTTCAGAGTGTTTGATGAGTGCCTCGTTTTCCATTGAGAAAAACCAACGGAGCCATGGAACATACTCTGCCAAGGGAAGTTTTCCACCGATTTTGATGCCATTAGATACAATGCCCTTAAATTCTTGGCCTTGTTCATCAATCTCACCTGCTGCATTCATGAATCTTTTACCAAAAGTTAGCCTTGTAATGTTGTTGAATGCTACTGATCCTAAGTACTCTCTCATCAACAGGCTTTTACCGGTGTTATCTGCAGATTATTAAGCATTAATTAGCACATGAATAGATTACACGCAGATTGGAATAAATTGAACATATCTTTAATTTGATATATAATGCACATTCCAAGTTTATTATACTAGAAAAGTTATCTAAATAGGTAAAACCTAGGACACAAAGTATCTGGCATTTTTGTACAATACAGGGAAGGTGACACCCCCCATGTAATGTAGACAGTCTACGTAACGCAAGCCTCAACAGTTGATTTCGTGACGTATAGTTTATATATGGAGACAACTTTATACTAATAGTTTCAGAAAGATTCACCTGGTCACTGGGACCATTGTCTTTATTATTATTCTACAAAAAACAAATAAAGCTTCATCTTTGACATATAACTAAAACAACATTTCATATGAATCTAGCTTCAAAATTAGTACTCTATATGAGATAAAATAAAATTAACATACCAGGCTTAGTAGAGTCATTGAAAATATTTTCCACCATGGCAGTAACTTCATCTTCTCTGATAGGTCTAAGAGATTCAAGTCTTTTTGGAGTAAAAAGTTCAAGATTACAAAGCTTTCTTACTTTCACATAATGAGGCCCATAATCAGCCCAAATCAAATCCATCCCATTTCTACTCAAATTATTAGCAGGTCTAGTTCTAAATCGATCTGCTAAATTCTGATCATTTTCTTTCAGTACTTGTTTAGCTAATTCAGCTGTTGTTACCACAACGTTTAGCTGTGAACCAAAGTATACTGAGAAAATTGGGCCGTAAGTTTGGGCCCAATCGGCGAAGCATCGGAATCTCACTGGTTTTATGTCGTACAGGTTTCCGACCACCGGTAACGGCCGTGGACCTGGTGGTAATTTGAATCGGAGACGGTGGTAGAGTTTATGAGCTACGAAAATTAGGGCTATTGAAGTTAGAATTAAAAATAAAGCCATTGATGGGAGATTTGTTTTTTTTTTATGTTTTTCTTTGAGATTTATACAAGTATGATTGCGTTCGGAGTTTTGGTAGGTGAAGGAAAATTCAAAGAAGAGGTAGTTGGGACTTGGGACTGAAAATGTTGGTAAATTTCTCAATCACGTGGCTGGTTTTAGACCTTTGAGATTGTTTTCTCACGTTCATGACTACAACATATCAGAATAATAATAATAATAAAAAAAATAATAATAGAAATTATAATATAATGTGATAATCTAAACATAATAAATAATAGAAGATGATGATGGAATTTTAAAATAAAACACTATAAAACACCATTCAAAAATCAAGACAACACTTTGTACCTATTATTCTTCTACCTAATACACCACCTTGATAATTTAAAACTGTGTTATGTATTATCTAATCACCTATTTCAAATATATTTTTAGATCTATTTCTACCTTTCTTTGTACTTGTGATATCCAACATGTTGTACCTCTTTATTGACACATCTTTTCTTCATATATCCAAACTCCAAATCATTTTAGTCTTACTTTTCTCTCATATTGTCCTCTTACTTATAATATATTGAGATAAAAGAAAATATTATTTTTTTAATTAAAATGAAGTCATGAGGTTAAAAGGAACTAGATCTAAGGAATCTGAAAACAAAAATTTGAAAAAGAGTCACTATTGAAATTAACGTTTAATTGGACACTTTTATCGTTGACTTACATGATTAGATTACAGTCTCCCCCTTATAATTATATACTCTATTGGAAGTTTTACAAGTTCAATGCAACTTTTGTTCATTTCATTATTTGTTGTACCATCCATTAATATAAAAAGTAGTGATTTATTTAACTTGATCCTTATATTAAAATTAATTATTCACCAACCAAACAAGCTACACATAATTATTGCTATAATAATAAAGATGATGGATGCTGCCAAACAAATGTTTTCAGTACTAATAATTAGGAGTGTTCACGGTTTGGTTTGGGTCGGTTATTGGTCAAAACCAAAATCAAACCAACTTAATCGGTTTTAAAATTATCAAAACCAAACCAAATCAAATATAATATACATTTATCGGTTTGGTTGTTTTCGGTTTTGGTTTGGTTCGGTTATTTGGTTATTAACCATACATAAAAATAAAAGAAACAATTCATTCAAAACGTGAAAAAAGTGACAACAATCCATTCAAACAAAAAAATAGTTAGAATGACTGGCATTATAGAACTTTCGATCATTGAATTTACTAATTAAAACTTCAAAATTCACTATTTTGGCATAGAAGGAAGAGACAATGATATTTTCAGCCCCACAAAGAATTTTCATAGACACTCATATACATGAAACCAATAAGAAAAATGTTCTCACCTTGGACATTTTTTCTTTCATAAGTAAATTATAAATAAATTTTGATGAAACATATATAAAATCTTTAAAATTGTTTATGAATATAATATATTATGTATGTATAATAATAAAATTTATGTATATAACTTGTTGGTTTGGTTTGGTTATTTCTTCAATTTTTTTCTAACAAAACCATAACCAAACCAAATACTATCGGTTCTTAACAATCTAAAACCAAACCAAACCAAAACCCAAATTAAATCGGTTTGGTTTGATTTTTCGGTTTGGATCGAGTTTTATCCAAACCATGAACACCCCTACTAATAATTCGTTATATAAATTCTCTTATATAATAAGAGGGAATTTGCACAAGGCAAGCTCCTCCCCGTCAACATGCCTGCTTGGCGTAGGGGTAGTATTGGTATTTTGTAATTATTTTGCTACTAATCTATTGTACTTTATGCTATTGACCTAATTTTTTCAAATTAGACAAAACAAATCATACTACTATTTTGTTCCTCTATACACTTTATCTTGAGAGTATGAGGCCTACTTCACATGTGTTTAATTTTAAAGAGGTTGCTGGCATGCATCATTGCATAGTAACCGGAAGATTTGAAGTAATTTATATTTATGTTAGCACTAACTAATTATTATATGCAAAAATTTCAATAATAGAATAAATTTTATCCACAGTAATAAAATAAAAAAAAAACCCCAAAGTGAGTAAAAAATCAATTTATCACACAAATTTCACAAAGTTATTTGAAGTTTAATAAAGAAATATTCTTCAAAGTATTTTCTTTATAAAAACAATAAAAGAAATGTAAAAGACTAGCCTAATGAAATATTTTAAAGTGCAATCAAAATTTAAATTATTCGAATTTTTAAGAATGAGTTATATATGATATACTTAAATAATATTTAAATTAGACAAACAAATTAAAACAGAGAAAATATTTTTATACTCATAAAATTTTAAAGACTTAAATAGTATTTTTTTATTAATACCTCAAAATAACTAAGTTTATACTTAAGAGGCAACTTGGTTAAGAGACAAACTATATATAGAAATTCTAATTTAAAAATTAGAGTTGAGAATTAATAATGCAACAATACAAAAATTTTCACATAATTTATGAGAAAAATAACCAAATGTTCTATGAATTAACAATGATTTTTATGTATGTTGATTAAGGTTTAAGTGAAGAAAATAAAATACACTAATTTTTAACATTGCTCTTCAATTTTTTTAGAAAATAAAGGACAATGAGATGATTTACTACTATCACAAATATTTATGATTTGTTTAAAATAAAAAAATAAAAATTATTTAATCAAAATTACTTTAAAATTATTATAAATTAATAATATTTATCAAGTATTCATTTCACAGTTAGTATGAACGTTTACTGTCATATAAATATATACAACTTATTCAAATTTAAAATCATTTGAATATCAATTTAAAATTAATTTATGAATAAATATTGGACACGTGCAGTGCACGGGCTCTTCGTCACTAGTACTATCATAAATGAGATATCTCTACAGTACTTTCTGGACACTCTCCTTCGACGTAGCTTCTTTTCTATCATCAATCAAAACTAATTGTGAAACTAATATGAATATTTTGCCATATACATCAATATTAACTGATTTATAGTGTTATGCGTTTTAAAAATGATTTAGGAAATGAATAATTAGTATGATAAAAATATAATATGCTAAAAGTGACAATACAAGGAAAAGTGATATTTTTCTAATAATAGACAACTAAAAAAGAAAGTAGAGAACACATTTTTCTATTAATATGCTAAAAATAACAAGTAAAAAAAATAATTAAATCATAATAGACAAATAAAAATAAACAGAGCACTAGGTATAAATGCACAATAAATTGTGAGATCCAAAATTCATGCGGAAGAATTAATTGAACATCTAATTTTACGAGTAAATTAACTCACGAATAATAAGTTGTTGGATTACTCAATGTTTTTTATAACAAATATTCAATGTTATAAGTTGAAAATATTTCTACTGTAACTTTACATCTTGATTTATAAAACTTTTGGCTAAAGAATTGTCTTCAATTTTGGCCTACCTTGATAACATGGTGCTAAATATTTCAACTTCTTGTTGTGCATATTGCTTCTGCTTATTCTTCAGTTCCTTGTACATCACCTTCACATCTCTGGAAAAATTAAATGTTAAATTTTGAGGGGATAATGAAGAAAACATTGCAAGAAATCGAATAATTAACATATGTATGTATGTGGTACACTATGTTGCTTAGACTAAAAAAAATGTTGAACATGTGTTGGATCTTCCAAAATTACAATACTTTTAGAGGATTTGATGATATTTTTAAAGAGTTCGAGCAGCAACATAGGTGGTAGGCATATGGCGTACCTGTTGTTTGGATCAACTTCAAGTGCTTTCTTAATATCAATTTCAGCCCTTTCCAGTTCATTGATTCTTAGATATGCTTGAGCCCTTCTGAATAGAGCTTTGACGTTACAAGGATCATACTCTATAACCTGTTTCCACGTTATATAACGAGCGAGATTTATTAGATCAAAAATACTTTCAATAGTTAAAGTTGTCAATATGGACTTGAAAATGCTAAACAGGCTCAACTCAACTCATGATTTGATTGAGCTAGACTAAAACTTTTGAAACTCATATAAAAGCGAGACATTTTTTAGCCCGGCCCAAATACACCCATAGTGAACCTTAATCATAAGGGTGACTTAAAAGTGAAGAGGAAACAGGGTAAGTAATAAACCTTGCTACATAGTTTTGAGGCTTCTTGATGCTCTCCCATCTTCAACTTGCAAGCAGCATTGTTCAAATAACACGATAATCGCAAAGTATTTGCTCGACACTTCTCATCATTATTGAACGAGTGATCAAATTCGATGAATTTCGAGGCCTGGAATTCACAATACATACACTTCAGCTTACAGAAATAACATTAGTCGTTCCTAACTTGTTTGAGACTGAGACATATAGTTATTGTTATATGCAAATCTAAACAAAAAAACAAGAATGAAAAGCTATTACATTCCTTCTCATACTTCATTGAGGCACATTGAAACTTCCCATCTTTGAATAGTACATTTCCCTCATTCTTGATTTTATCACATGCTTCAATTTTCTCTTTTGTGTCCATTTTCCAAAATGGTTTCTCCTGTATGAATAGAAAAAAATAGTTTATTTTTAAAAAACATTAGTTTGATAATTCTGAAACTAGAATTAATTCCTTGTTTAAAAAAAAAAGACCTTGTTGAAATCAACCAATTTGATCTCATAAAATATAGAGTCTGAGTTGATTGTCACTATTGCTTCTTCTCCTTTTTTCATAGTCATGATAGCTCTATCTAAATTTTCATTTAATTGATCTGCATTGATCAACATAACAGTGGCGAAGTCAGGATTTTCATTAAACGGATTCAGATGAACCCCTTGAGCCCCCTAACTTCGGCACTATCAGCGTGCAAGCTGGTCCAAACAACATCATTATAATTTATTTATTTTGAAAAGAAACAAGACAAAGAAGAAAACTTTACCTTCTAAACATATATATTCAAAGGGTTCTTCATCTGATCCTTTTCTTTCAAATATAGTCCCATCTTGTAGCTTTCCAATATAGACCACTTCAAGAACACACAAATTATTCCAAATTTAATCTTCTTCATTTTATACATGTATTAAATAAACAAATTTAATTTGTAAAAAGTAATTACCTTTTGCAAGGGATCCTTCATTAGGATGATCATAACCTTCACCAGCCTTATTTAACTTCTTAAGAACTTTGTTATCTCCAATAACATCAACAACACTTTTCCATGAAATCAACTCAAGATGAATTATCAAATTGGAATTTGATGATTGCAATATTCCAATTCCATCACCATCAAAACTTGAATTTCCAAAACAATCTTCAAAATGATTAGACAAAATTTAATCAAATATCTTCTTTTTTTTTTTTTTGGCTTATGAATATTAATACTAACGTCTTGTTGTGTTTATCAAACTTACAAGCTGGCTTCACAGTTAGCTCAACTATTTCTCCTTTTCTCATTGTCTTTAGAGATTTCTTCATGGCTGGATATAAATGACCTAATAAAGGTGAGTTGTCGCGCCCATGTCAGGTCCAAAAATGCACAAATCCGACACAGAAAAATAATATTTTTGAAGAGACCGAGCAACATGCATGTATTTACCTTCCATTAAAGAAAACTCAACAGCATCATCAGATTGTGATAGAATGTTTCCATCTGCAGAGCTTGCTACATACTTCACTGTCCAATAAAAAAGAGGTAATAGAATTTTTTTAAAAAAAACATAAAGAAAACTTTAAGTTTTTGGATTGAGTCATACTATAATTGTTTCATAATAAGTGAAATAATTAAGACAAGATGTTACCTAGTACTTCATCTACATCTCTAGGTGTAGCCCATCCTTCACCTTCTTTAATTATTTTTTTCAATATTCCTCCATCTCCACTAACATCTCTAATTGAATTCCAAGAAATTAATTCTATTTCAAAAATAAGTGTTGAATTTGGAGGAATTAAAGGGGGTGAACCAATTTCTCCATAAGCCAAATTTGGTGGAATTGTGAATATTGCTCTTTCACTCTTTTTCATTGTTGCAATTCCTTCATCCCATCCTTTAATAACTTCACCTGAAAATTGAAATGAACAACGCCTTTTGTATCAGAAATTAAGTGGTTGGATATATCACTTTCTGACTGGAATGACCTTTTGAATGAGATAACATAAGATAAACTGATTTTTTCTGATACGAAAAAAATGATTTTATTCACCTATTTTCAATATTTCATTGACCTTTTAAGTAATGAACTCTTAAATTACACGGTTTCATTAAACTACCAATATATATAACTTAAATAATTCAAAAAATATGGTAAACAAGTATTTGAATAATGTAAAAAAAAAAGAAGCAGAATAATACCTTGACCTAGCTTGAATGTAAAAGGCTTTCCTCTATCATAGCTTGAGTCAAAAAATTCTCCATCTTGAAGTTTCACTCTGTAATGAACTAAAATACCCAAAAGTGATAAACAAAAAACTCAAGAAAAAAAAAGTAATTAATTAAACAAAAAAAGCATTCCTTGGATTTCAACAACAACAATAACATATGATGCAATGTAGTCTTACAAACTGGGGTATGAAGGGTAGAATAGAGTGTTTGCAAACCATATCCCTATTTCTAGAAATGACGTTTTCAATAGACCATCGATTCAAGGAAAAATAGTTCAAAGTAGTCCAAAAAATGAAGTATGTAACAAAAGTGAAAGCATAATAAAACATTTTGATTGGTAAATATAATAAAATAATACGACAACCAAAATACAAATAACAACGTATAGTAACAGAAATTGAAAGACATGAAAACTACAGAAGCGATACTACGACTACGAACCTTGGATTTCATCACCATGAAATGGTGTCTTCCAAGAATTACCCTTTTGCAAAATCTTTTTTCTCAAGCCTTCTTTCCCAATTACAATCTCTTGTAATTCTTGAATTTTAGTTTCAAAATTCAATTTGTTACTTTTCTTAGAATTAAAATCCCCCATTTTCCCTTTTTTCTCTTTAGTGAAAAAGAAGATAAGTTTTGTTGGAGTAGACAAACAAGGAGAGCTCCAAATTGAAGATAAGCCGTTAGTTTCCCACACATTCAAAAAGTTCTTTCAGTTAGGATTTCTTTTCCAAAATTGCCCCTGTTTAAATAACTCTGTACAAAAATATCCTCGCCGTAACAATAAAAGATTTATTTTGTCAATCCAACAAGACTAGTGAACAAATGAACAAGATATGGAAAATGAAGATTGCACTCTATTTGTCATAGAGCAGCCCGATGTACTTAACTTCAGCTATGTGTGGAGTCTAGAAAAGAATGAGACAGTAATAGTCTATTGTACACATTTGTCATAATTTGTAATTTTCAAATATTATGAAGAGACCCGCTAGTTTTGGGGCAATATCTCAATAAACCTAGGTATGTGAACCTCTAAACACAAATAAGGTATATCAATTCGATATGAGAATAAAGATTGTATTGAATATATGATCGGTAGGTTATAATTTGTTAGAAGTGCAATTTTTAACTCTTCTGAGTGTGTGTGTATGCACAAATTCCTGACGAGAGGGAGTTACTTGGATGGTAAGCACCCCTCACTTCCAACCCGAGGGTTGCGAGTTTGAGTCACCAAGGAAGCAAAGGGTGGGAGCTCCTAGGGAGAATAAAAAAAAAAGTATGCACAAATTCATTACAGGGGAACACAAGTTAAACAACGAGCATTAAATGGCCATATTCTGCAAATCATCCCATTGGTACTAGATGCCTTAGCTCGACCCATTATATGTTAATTGGGCTTTTTGCCCAACAGCATTAGACCCGTAGTATTCTTTTTGTAGTTTCTTATCCTTCGAATACTATTATTATATGTTGTTTCTTATATGCTTTCAATTATCGTATTATTTTATTTTAGTTACTATTCAAAATGCTTTGTTATGCTTTCACTCCCATTACGTTTTTTCTAGACTATATTTTCTTGAGTTGATGGTCTTATCAAATCAATCTTTGTAACTAGATTTAAGATAAAAATTAAAAATATCTCTGTGAAACTACACTAAATATGTGATTATTATTATTATAAAACAATAATTTAACACAAGTGGTAGGTAATCTAATCATTTGATTTTGGGGTGGGATGATTAAGTAAAGTAGGCAAAAATCGATACGTCATGAAAAAAAAAAGCAAATATATGTCGAAAATAGATGTTGCATGTGATCATATATATATATGTCCACCAAACTCATCCTAGTGAGCGACTTCCACTAGATTAACCAATATGTATAGGTATTATTGATATTATGAAATTAAATGTTGAATATTTACATCAAATTATTTTTTTACGAGTATAATATATATATAGAGAGAGATATTATAATTAAATGATAGAATTTATATGCATACGTGTGCTGTTTATATATTAGTTTAAATTATTATTAGGTGGAAATTTTATTTTATAAATTCTGTGACTTAAATCAAATTATGATAAATAAATAAATCGTACATCACATGAAAAAGTTAACATTATTGACATTGACAAGGATTCTGCTAAAAGGTCATATAAAATGGAACTCTATCCAATTTTTATTAACTAATTATAGAAGAAAAGAGAGAATATATGCTAGTGCTCCTAATTATATCTAAAACATTTTACAAGAGATCTATAGTGGCAAGGCTTTTCTCTATGTATATATATCTATTTTTGCCAAGAATATAACGTACGTGATACATAAGAATTGGCATATTTATTATTTGTATTCATCATTTAGAATAATATGATCATGTCACAAATTAAAGGCATCAAGTGTTTATTAATTGTTGATTTTGTTCTAATCTTGATTATTTCATCGAGTATTTTCACCAACCCCACCAAACTAACATATTATTTGCTAACTCTTCAACACACAACTTGGTTTTCGATTACTCAACATATATAAAAAGTTTTTAGCAGTAACTTTCCACATATCCAATATTAGCTATTTTAATTTGTTGTATCCATCTACTTTTTTTTATTCTTATTCTTTTTATAACTTTGATAAAGGGGGTGGTATTTTCCCTAACTACTTAAGAAAAGAAAAAACAAAAGTACTTTTTGTCCCAAAACACAGATATAATTTTGTTGCTTTTGTCCACTGGATCTGTTCCAGTTGATTTTATGAAATAAGTACTTTTTCCTGTCTAAGTGCAATGAATCTTCTGTTTCTATCAGACGAATCAATTAGTTTGGTAGCTCTTTACAAATTTATATATAATTTTATGTATTTCTATACGAGATATTTATTTTTACATATATAATAGATATGAAAGTAACAATTATATAGGGCTATGGTCAATCATTGAGATCAAGTATATATGTATATCTAAATGGATGAAATATAATGAAATAAAGTCACTTTAAAATTTCCTTTTAAATGAGGAATGTAAAAGAGTTACTAGGAAGAATACCCAAGGGTTATAAACTAAGCGTCAACTTCATATCATGTTCATTGGATTGAGAACAAGAATTAATTAGAACTATATATCTGAGAGTATAGAGTGCTTGTTACGAGTTTATTAGAATCAATAACTTTAGCTAAATTTTCATATTTGTGATATATATAAATAATTTTTTCAAAATTTTACAAGTTGTATTGTGTAGAATTTAGAACTCATAAGCTCAAAAATCTGAATATTTTTCACGGAGTGCATGCTCTTATAACATGTGAAAAGCTTAAAGCTCGTTATATTCCTACCCCCACTAATTTCTACCCTATTGGCATACACTTGTTTTGAATTACCAAATATAACAAAGAGACAAATAAAAGAAATTTAATTAGTGTGCAAGTCTATTTTCATTTGCCATTCAATTTGTCCTTTATTAATTTGCAATTAGTTAAAAGGTAGAGAACTTTAATTTGTGTCACCATTTGATATATCTATTGCTAGTAGCTGTTTTATGAGAAATACTATATGATACTCTATAATAGATTTGTCTGAAAAAATGAGAATATATTAGTACGAAGTATTATACTAGATAACACCAAAAAAAATTACATTATTTCCACCATTAGATAAAACAGGAAAAAAAAAAATACCCATAATTAAAAGGGTAAATTAATTAAATTATCCCCTTTTTTTTTATCTCATCCTTAAATTAAACCAAACTCTCTTTTTATTGTACTATATTATTATTTTTTAACAGACCCTTGTGGTCCGATTCTTCCTTACAAGTTGTACAATAGTAGGAGTTTAGTGCATCGAACGGCCTTTTTTAAGCTATTGGAACTTCCTTAGCCAAGATGGTAGGCTGTTGCATGGGATCACCAATGACTACTTCACTTGTTTGCATTTCTATGTCATTTGTAACTACTCCCTTCAATGGTCCCTCAATTTCCTTCTCTTGGTACTCCTTGTATTTTCCCCATAAAACTGAGTATAGCCCTGCTACAATTAACACTGCTCCAAGCACACTGAAATCCAACAAAGAAGAAAAAAGTAAATACAACGACAATATATCCAGTATAATCTAAAACAGAGTGAAATATATACAAATTCTCGGCTCAAGAAAATTAGTCCCAAAAATAAAGTATGAAAGTAAAGCATAACAAGGCATTCTGAATAGTAACTACATCAGAATAATACAACAATTGAAGTATAAGAAAGAAACAACAAATAGTAATAGAAGTTAAAAGACAAGAAACTATAGTGTGAGACAAAAAAGAAGAAGTGAAAATTACCCTCCAAGATAGATTTTCTCAGCAAGAATGAAAGAACCCATGATGGCAACAATGATCATCATCAAGGGACTAAAAGCAGTCACAAAAACAGGTCCTCTTTTCTCCATAACAAGACCTTGAACATAATATGCAAGGCTTGATGATACAATCCCCTGAAATTTTATACAATAAAATTCATAATCAGATGCAGAGCTAGAATTTTGAGTTTATACGTTCTAAATTAAAGAAAATACAGTTATTGAGTTCTGTAGAACCCGTAGGCGTATGAGGAATAAAAAAACAAGAAACATACAGCATAGACAGCAGCAAGAAGATTCATGTCAAAACCAATTGCCCAAGCAGAAGGTTTATGTTCCATCACTAAGGTGACAGCAATTGATTGCAAAGTTCCCATGAAGCAAACAAGTGTAGTTAGAGATAGAGGAGCAGTGTACTTCCTCATTGTAATAGCCTATCAACAAAAACAAATATTTTTTTTTAATACTATCAGTATACATAAGTTAAATTCGTCACGAAAAGACAGAAAATGAGTTTTTAGTGGTTTTGACAAACCTGAAGTATAAAGAAAGAAGCCCATGCAAAAGTAGCACCAATAAGAAGAAGTGAACCTTTAAGCCAATCTTTATCACTTGTTTCATTGGATTGAGAAACATTAGAAGTATTATTTGTGTTTGCCCATACCAAATTAATAACATGTCCTTTGTACAATGTCATTAACATGGCTCCAGCCACTGTCACAATTGTACCTATCACCTTTGCTTGGCATCTCAACTTTTTAATATGGACCTTCTCCATCCTATACATTTAAATTATTTATTCATTATTAATATAAGTGCCAAACTTTTGAAAAAAAAAAGAGAATAGTTTTGGAATATGTAGAATATTTTAATATTATATGTATGTACCTGCAAAGGACAGCCATGACAAATGTCATTGCAGGAAGCATGTTACTCATGGCACATGAGAATGTTGGAGATGTGAACTTTAGTCCAGCATAATAGAAATTTTGATCAATCACTGGCCTGTTTCAATCAAATTATATAAATATAGATTTAGAATCTCCTATATATATGTAAAAAGAAAATTTCTTTATATTATCAGTATAGTTTAACTTGTATCAGCGATGTTAAGTTTTTTTACAAGATTGTCACCGAGTTTAACCTTTAATAGATTTTCCGTGACGTGATTCTAAAAATATATTGTGTATTCCAATTGTGTATCGACAAGTCAAATCCCGAGGAAACATTTGTCAGAAATTAGTGATTTTCTGATAGTAAGTGAGAGGTATGCACTCACCCAAGAAGACCTAATATAAATATTTGCAAGAACATCATGAAAGTCATCTTTGGTCTAAGTTTTCTGTAACAAATAAACAAAGACATAGAATTAGCAATATTTTCATTTTGCATAACTATATATAATTTACACCAATTAATTAGTGAGTAATATATACCTTTCAAGAAGAAGAGCAAAAGGAGCAATAGCAAGAGTAGCAAAGGCATGTCTATAAACAACCAAAACATAATGACTCATTCCTCCATTTAGGCTAACTTTGGTTATAACATTCATTCCAGCATAACCAAATTGCAATGAAATCATTGCTATGTATGGTTTTCCCCTTTGGTAGAAATTACTTAAACAACCTCCTCCTACTTTGTTATTTTCCATAATTTCTCTTTTCTTTATATATATATATATATATATATAATTGGAAAATTAAGAAGAAGAAGAACTCAAAACACTTGGAGGAATTACTTGTGTTTTTCCTAAGGAAATGAAGTGAGGAACCAATGTATTTATAGACAACAACTTCTCATGTTATCCATAGTGGATTAAGATAAAAGTAAATTTGCACTCTCTCTCTTAGGTGTCATGCATTAATTGGTATTATTAAAGTGCGAGTAGGTTTTTAGTATGCGTAACTATGATAGACAGAGCTAGGGGTATGAACCCTGCTCATCGAAAAATTATTACATTATATATATAAAGTAAATAAGAATTAGTGAAGTTTAAAAGATGAAGCTTTTTTAAATTTGTGATCTTCATGTATACATGTTATCATATCTCTATGACTATTATTCAAATATAAAATCTATATAATATTTTTTTTGAAATAGATTAATAAGAGTACATGCAAAACAAAAATAATAAGTAATTTGCTATATATAGCGGACTACATTAGCCTTATAAAAAGATGCTCAATATTATTCCACAAATGAGATTTAAGGGAGGGATGGATGTACACAAACTTTCTTATTTCTACTTTACGTTTCTGATAAACCTTCGACTAGATATACATAAAGCCGACTACATTATACTAGTAATATAATATGAAAATTCTTTTTGAGGTACATTTGATGAAACAGATAAATCGTATATAGAGAGTTCCACTAGGGGAATTTTACTAAAGAATTTTTGTTTTTTCCTCCATATATCCTCCTAGTGGTATAAAGTGATTTGAGAGCTACCAAAATTAATTTTAAAGGTTAAATTTTAGTGCTATGCTGATGCAAAATTAATCAAATAGGATTTGGTGGTGGGATCCACCAGTGCTATCGTCACTAATAATTATGCGGCATATCGACAACGCCGGTGATCGGTCGGAACTCCGGTGGCATACATCGGAATTTTAAAAGTATGGTTAATTAATTACCATAAATAAATAAACAATTTTTGTTTTTTAATATTATGGAATTTGATGATGTAAATTAGAGTAAAAGTACTTTAGTTAGTGTGCCACTAGCTAATCACACATGATTAATGGTGTTTGGTTTTGAATTTCCTATTGCATTAATTTACATTACTAAAAAGATACTCGCTTCATTAACTTTTACTTGTCACATTTTATTTTATAAGAGTCAATCTGACTAATTTCGAAGCGAAATTAAATTAACTCAATAGTTTAAATTTAGATTGATACTCAAAGACTATACGAAAATAATTAAGCTAATTTTTTTCTCATATTAATGTGATGAAAAAAGACATCTCAAAATGTTGGTCAAAATCTATGCAGTTTAACTCTTGAAAAGTGAATGATGATAAGTAAAAATGAGTGACGAATAAATTTGTAGCTAAATATCAAAAATTGTGGCTAATATTTACGAGCTATTAGCATAGATTAGCGATTAAGTTTGTAGCCAGCTAATTCCAAATTTTTTTTATAGTGATTAATCATCCAATAATATAGCTAATTAATTACACGCTAATGGTGTTTTGTTTCGAATTTGCCATTGCATCATATCCAATAATTGGAGGAGACTTGTAGATTAATATATTTGGTTAACCTCTTTTTATATTTGTTGATAAAAATAGAATATATCCCACAAATAATAATGTGTTAATTAACTTGTATGGCTTAATTAGACAAATAATTGTTTTGATGACATAGGATGAAAACGATAGTACTTCTAGACAAAGTAAGATTCTAAATTCCACGAATAGTCACATAATTATAAGTGTGTTTTTCCCCCAAATTAAAGTCATATAGCTTTTTTTTCCACCAAAATAATATAACTTTATTTAATCACCAAAATCGATCGATCTCTTTGCGTTATTATTGCACCAAATTAAAAAGAAAAATCATGTAGCAAATTTCACAAGATTTTATTCTATATATTTTTACTCGAACGCCCTGAAAAAAAATAGGGAAAAAAAGATGAAATAAAATGGGGAAGAATATGTCATCACTAGCTACCTTGTATACATGCTAGTGGAAGATGATGATTCACATAATTAATTAATGGAATGCAGTTCTGATTCCTAAAATCTTCTAGTATTAATTAATGTTTTATAAGCATAATGATATTGGTAATTAGTGCATGATGATAGTATTAATTAAAATATATTGTGAATGTGACTTTTTAATTTTACAAGGGTATCATGACTCATAGTTGTGTTACAGTTTACTACTACAACTATTTTGCTTATTCACTTTCAATCCAAGTTAATGCTCTTCATTTAGATTCCATACTTGGTAAATCTATGATTCAAAATTTCATTACATCATCCAACTTAGTAAGTTCTTTTTTTCAACCCCAAGGTAAATTCGTTGTCGTTACTTTTTGGGTGTGCATCTAGTAATAACTTACAAATCATATAGGAGACATAAATCGCACTAGACAAGTCTGATATGATGAGCTCAACTAAACAGACATTGGCAGGGAGAACTCGATCCCTTAACATCTCTTATGATATACCACGTATTGCACCATAAAAAAGTTATACAATTGACTGCTTGGCTATAAAATATTAACATGAGTCCCTAGTCAATATATACACAGCTATGCATATATACATGTATTATACATTTGTCAGCAATTTTTTTAGTGAGCAATTATATTAAGTAAAAAATCCAAGAAAATAAAAGTTTTGACACATTCTCTTGCAAATAGATACCTCTATAGCTTTCATTTATTTTGCCTTAGGTCACTTCAAAATTTAATTATTTGTTTAATTTCATGTCCTTTTGACTTCCCATTTCTTTGGGGTGTTTAATTATACCCACATAAATTAAATCTGTATCTGATAGAGGATCTTTTCAAGGATGAGTGATTTAATTAGTGGATTCTATGAAAGAATCCATGATTGATCAGTTTATTGTACTATTTTAATCATAATAAAAATTTAACCAAAGAGCATTAACACCACCAAAGTGTTCAATGATTTCACTTACAAAAAAAATCTAATACAGTTTTACTTGCATCAATCATAAAACTAATTACATAAAATATAGTAGTAATTAATAAGAAAATAGTGCAAATAATATATACATAGTGAATATATATAGTGAGTCCTCCCCTCAATAGATGTTGTGAGATGAATGAGACTTCTTCATTTAAAATATTAAATTTAGATAAACCCAATCAGATAACATCAAGCTATATCTATCTCGATGTATAGATAAAAACTTCTAAGTATTACACTATGCAAAGATAATATGATACAAAAATTTCTTAGGCTGATAATATAATATTATTTAAATCGTCTAAAAAACGTCAATAACATGATGAAATCATGAAATTGTTTGCTTAGTCCTCATTTTCTAAGTTTGAATATTGATGGATCTGTTTATGATGACACATCGCAAATTTTTCTTTTTGGTTAGAGATTAATGAGCAATAAAATACTTGGTTCATTATGAGGACACACATCACATATTTCTTGGCTAAAAAAGAAGTTATATATAAAATTATTATATACTTGGTTCATTGTATGGTGACACATCTCTATTGCCAGGTCAATTTAGCATTGTTTAGTATTAATTTTTTTTTGTTTTCCGGCTAAATATTTATATTTTAAATTTAGTAAAAGATACCGTAACTATAGGTACGAGTGAAATTAGTAACTTCATACATAAGATTTGTAACCCAGTACAAACATGTAGAATATTTTATATGATATATTTTTGTGCATATAAGTTAAATTCCTTGGATATAATTATCTCATTTGCTTAGTCACGTATCTTTATTTCAAAAACAATAAAATCCCCTCCTACAACTTGTGGCTGTGATTTTTTAAAAACTAGAAGAAAAAAAAAGTTAAAAGAAAGTGACTTCATGAATAGTTTAAACTAGAGAAAAAATATGGTGTCATGTTAAATCTAGAAAGATAAAAAAACTAGAAAATTGACTACGAATTTAATCATTTATATTTATATAAAAAAAATTGAGGCATATAGCTTAGAGGGTTAATGAATCACAATATTGTAATCCTCAACTATGGAACTTTTCTCCCTTGCAACACTTATCTTCATTGCCCTAAGAAATCTGCTAGCTATGAATTTAGCACCACACCTCTAAAAAACTTGGTCATGCAAACTGCACAGGTAATATTTAAACTGTGCATCTATTAACTCAGCCTATTTTAATCTATTCAAATTCAGCATAATCTGTCGTGTTTTGAAGTTATTCATATTTCTATTGTAATGTAAATTGTCTTATACTCGCTCTTGATTCTAACTATCTATCAAAATTTGATTAAATTTGAATTTATATTAAAAAATTCTCCATTATAATTAAAACTACAATATTACTCAATAAAAGTTTTAACTTTTACAAATTACACATTATAATATATTAATGGCAGTGAAATCATATGAATAAACTTTTATATTATTAAATCTAGTAAAAAAATAACGTAACTATAGGTACAATCTATAACGACTAAAATTTGTAACTTACTAATTAAGATTTGTAACCCAGTACAAACATCAAACATATACGATATTTGAATTTTAGTTTTGTATTGAAAAGAAAAATAAATTGAGGAGTATAGCTTAGAGAATTAGAGCACGCAATACAAATCACAATATCGGAAAGTTCAAATTCCTCCTAGCCCATATAATATATGATCCAAAAGGAAAGTACCTTTTTTAGGGGCGGGAGAGGGTAGGAAAATCATGATGAAAATAGCGAACCAAAACCATGAAATTTGAGTGTGAAATAAAATGACTTATTTATTATTTATCATGAAGGAGAGAATTATTACTTATAGAATATGTCCAATTGGTGTTCTTTTTATTATACACCTCGTAACTGCCTAGTATTAGTAGCTTAATAAAAAAAATCTTCCTCATCATAAATATCCTTCATCGTGAACCTTTTAGAAAAATTTATGACTATATCAAACATACGGTGCTAATATATCTAATATATTACAATAATTTAATATTATCAAAAATTAAAATTTATAAACTTTAAGTTTTGACTCAATAATTCAAGATACTATGATACATTATGAAATAAAACTAAGGTGGAGCAATATGTACGT